AAATGGATGCCAATCAAGAATCTTATATCCGGCAAAACTAAGCTTTAGATTTGATGATGAAATAAAAACCTTCCATGATAAACAAAAGTTAAAAGAATTTACAACTAGAAAGCCTGCACTAGAGAACATCCTCAGCAAAATATTCCCTGAAGATGAAATGAAAAACAATGATGAAAATCAGCAGAGGGAGATATTACACTAAAGGAAAATCTATTCAGAGGAGAAAGCAAGTCACGTTGAATACTAAAAGTAAACAAAACTGGCTGGGAATAAAAATCCTGTCTCAATAATAACCATGAATGTTAATGACCTAAATTCACCAATAAAAAGACATAGACTGGCAGATTGGATAAAAAAAAAAAAGATCCAACAATATGCTGCCTCCAGGAGACTCATCTCATAGGAAAAGGCATCTGCAGATTTAAAGTGAAGGGTTGGGAAAAATCATACCACTCACATGGACTGCGGAAGCAAACGGGTTCCCATCCTCATATCAAATAAAGTTGACTTCAAGATAAAGTCAATCAAAAAGGACAAATAAGGACACTACATACTGCTCAAGGACACATGCACCAAGACTTAGCAATTATAAATATATATGCCCCAAACAATGGAGCATCTATGTTCATCAAACAAACTCTTCTCAAGTTAAAGAATCAAATAGACCACACCACAATAATGTTGGGTGACTTTAACAAACCTCTTTTATCACTAGATAAGATCTTTCAAACAAAAGCTGGTAGAAGAAACTTCTCTTAATTAGATCATACATTATGTCACAAAGCAGCTCCTAGCAAATACAAAAAGGTAGAGATACTACCCTGCATTTTATCAGATCATAATGGAATGAAATTAGAAATCAATGGTAAAATAAAAAATAAAAGCTACTCCATCACCTGGAGACTAAATAATATGCTACTGAATGAACAATAGGTTGCAGAAGACACCAGGAGGAGATTAAAAAATTTGGGAAGTGAATAAGAACACAGATACAACATATAAAAATCCCTGGGACACTGGGAAAGCAATTCTAAGAGGAAAGTTCATTCCTTAAAAGAAGAAAAAGTCAACAAATAAATGACTTAACATTACATTGCAAAGCCCTAGAAAAAGAACAAATCTACACCAAAAGCAGTAGAAGACAGGAAATAATTAAAATCACAGCTGAAATCAATGAAATTGAAGCAAAAAAAGCAACTGAAAAAACCTGACAGAACAAAAATAAATCTTTGAAAAAATAAATAAAATTGACAAACCCTTAGCCATGCTAACAAAAAGAAGGAGACATAAAACTCAAATTACTAACATACATGATGAAAAAGGAAATATCATGACAGACACTACAGAAATACAGAAGATAATTAGAAATTATTTTGAAAACTTGTACTCCAATAAAATAGAAAATATCGAAGGCATCGATAAATTTCTAAAGTCATATAATTTGCCCAAATTGAATCAGGATGATATACAAAACTTAAACAGGTCAATTTCAAGCAATGAAATAGAATACACCATCAAAAGTCTATCAACCAAGAAAAGCCAAGACCATATGGATACACAGCCAAATTCTGTAAGACCTTTAAGGGAGAACTAATACCAATACTCTTCAATTTATTTCAGGAAATAGAAAAAGAGGCAGCACTTCCAAATTCATTCTATGAGGCCAATATCACCCTGATTCCAAAACCAAGCAAAGACACATCAAAGAAAGAAAACTTCAGACTAATATCTCTTATAAATATAGATGCAAAATTCTCAATAAAATTCTGGCAAATCAAATACAAAAACATATCAAAAAGATTGTGCATCACAATCAAGTGGGATTCATCCCAGGGATGCAAGGTTGGTTCAACATATGGAAATCAATAAATGTAATTCACCACATCGATAAACTTAAAGATAAGAATCATATGAACATCTCAATAGACATAGAAAAAGCATTTGACAAAATGCTTTTGACAGCACCGCTTAATGTTCAAAACCCTAGACAAAAATAGGGATAACAGGAACATGTCTCAACATCGTAAAGGCTATCAATGCTAAGCCCCAGGCCAACATCATTCTAAATGGAGAAAAATTGAAAGTATTTCCTCTAAAAACTGGGACAAGACAGGATGTCTCTTTCACCACTACTATTTAACATAGTTCTTGAAACACTGGCCAGAGCAATCAGACAAACAAAAGAAATTAAAGGGATACACATAGGAAAAGAAGAACTCAAATTGGCACTATTTGCTGCTGACATGATTCTATACCTAGAAGACTTTAAAAGTTCCACCAGAAAACTTCTAGAACCAGTAAATGAATTCAGCAAAGTATCAGGATATAAAATCAACACCCATATATAAAAGGCATTTCTGGATATCAGTGACAAATCCTCTGAAAGGGAAACAAGGAAAACTACCATATTAACAATAGCCTAAAAAAAAAAAAAACGTTGGGAATCAACCAAAGAGGTGAAGGATCTATATAATGAAAATTACAGAAACCTAAAGAAGGAAGTCAAAGATCTTAGAAGATGGAAAGATCTACCTTGCTCTTGGATAAGCAGAATTAATATTATCAAAATGAACATACTACCAGAGTACTATACAGATTTAATGCAATTCCAATCAAAATCCCAATAACATTCCTAATAGGAATAGAAAAAGCAGTCATGAAATTCATCTGGAAAAATAAGAGACCCATAATAGCTAAAGCAATCCTTAGCAGGAAGAGTGAAGCAGGTGGCATCACTATACCAGACCTTAAACTATATATACTACAGAGGAATAGTAACAAAAACATCATGGTATTGGCACCAAAACAGACTGGTAGACCAATGGTACAGAATAGAGGACACAGAGACTAACCCACAAAATTACACTTATCATATATTAGACAAGGCACCAAAAACATACATTGGAGAAAAGATAGCCTCTTTGATAAATGGTGCTGGGAAAACTGGAAATCCATATGCAACAAAATGAAATTAAACTCTTATCTCTCACCATGCATAAAACTTAACTCAAAATGGATCAAAGACCTAGGAATAAAACCAGAGACCCTGCAACTAATTGAAGAAAACATAGGCCTTAATCTCCACCATGTGAGATTAGGCTCCAACTTGCTTAATAAGACTCCTGTGGCACAAGAATTAAAATCAAGAATCAATAAATGGGATGGTCTTAAGCTAAAAATTTCTTCTCATCAAAAGAAACAATCTGTGAGGTGAATAGAGAGCCTACGTCTTGGGAGCAAATCTTTACCCCTCAGACATCAGATAAAGCATTAATCTCTAGGGTATACAAAAAACTCAAAAAGCTAAGCACAAAAAAATAAAAATAAAAAAATAAATAACTCAATCCATAAATGGGCCAAGGACCTGAACAGACATTTCTCAGATTATATACAATCAATCAACAAATATATGAAAAAAATGTGCATCATCGATAGCAATTAGAGAAATGCAAATCAAAACTACTCTTTCATCTCACTTGAATCAGAATGGCAGCTATTATGAAGACAAACAACAATAAGTGTTGGTGAGGATGTGGGGAAAAAGGTACACTTATACATTGCTGGTGGGTCTGCAAATTGGTACAGCCAATATGGAAAGCAGTATGGAGATTCCTTGGAAATCTGGGAATGGAATCACCATTTGACTCAGCTATTCCTCTCCTTGGTCTATTCCCAAAGGACTTAAAAACAGTATACTACAGGGACACAGCCACATCAATGTTTATAGCAGCACAGTTCACAATAGTTAAACTCTGGAACTAACCTAGATGCCCTTCAATAGATAAATGGATAAAAAATGTGGCATATATACACAATGGAATATTTACTCAGCAATAAAAGAGAATAAAATCAAGGCATTCACAGATAAATGGATGGAGTTGGAGAAGATAATGCTAAATGAAGCTAGCCAACCCCCCAAAAACAAATACTGAATTGTTTTCTCTGATATAAGGAGGCTGATTCATCAAGGGGTAGGGAGGGAGAGCATGGGAAGAATAGACAAACTCTAGAGAGAGCAGAGGGGTGGGAAGTGGAGGGATGGGGCATAGGGTTAGAAGTGATGGTGGAATATGATGGACATTATTATCCACAGTACATGTATGAAGACATGAATTAGTGTGAATATACTTATTTACAATCAGAGATATGAAAATTTGTGCTCTATATGTGTAATAAGAATTGTAATGCATTCTGCTGTCATATGTAAATAAAAAATTAATTAAAAACACATTATGCTTACTTAAGAAGTTTAGAAATCAGTGGAGATTCAGTGATGCTGCATCTTCAATACAGAAAAAGAAAACAATTTTGTAAGTGTGACTTTTTAAATCTCTTTTGTAATGATTTTAAGTGGTCTAGTTGAAAGAATGCACAAATTTGAATTCCTACACTTATCAAATTATGCCTATGATTCTTCAGAACACATATTCTGATAAATATTTTCTCTTACCACAGCTTCTTAACAGCATAAAGGGCACAGCAGAGGTGTCAGAAACTAATCGTGCTCATGGGGTGTTATTAAATAGAAAAAAAAAAAAGGCTCCTGTCTCTTGGGTTAATATTATTTTAGAAATACTTAATCTCCAGGCTGCTAAGCTAATTGTGGGGGAAAGGCTTATTATTAGTGAAGAGAACAAAACGTATGTTCCAAGACTGGAAGAGATGATGGGGACTATATAAGGTCATGAATTCTATTTGACTAAATTACTGCTGAACCATATCGTGGATGCCAGGCTGGGGCCAGGGTGGAAATCAGCATGTTATCTTTCTTTTCCATCTGTAGAGTGAGCGTGCACATTCTGGCCATTTAAAGCCTCAAGCCTCCTGTATGAAGAGGTATTGTTAGGTATTATTACCTTAGGCATATTTGCTTTTATGATATGGTTAGTATTTTAGCCTATTCTCCCGAGTGGAATAATTTATGCACAGAAAGCCAAACCAATTTATTTGAAATCTGAAAGCCTATCATCAGATACATTTCCAGAGACTTCTTTCCCCAGGGCGGCGAGTAACAGCATGTCAGCCAGCTTCCATGGTTCCTACCAAAAGCCCTGTGCAGCCAGTGGTGGTTGAAGGAGGCTGGACTGAGCAGACTCAAGAGGAAATTAAACTCATGGAACTCATAAGACACACAGAGGTATGTTCTTTAGGATTCCAGACATTTGAGACTCTGCCTCTTTTATAAGCATTTAAAAGTACAATATTGAATTTTTAAATTACACTATTAATATATTCTTAGCATCTGGTCACTTATGACCACATAAGCATATGCCAAGCATTGAATTGGCATTTGGAGAGTAGCTATCTAAGAGACAGCCAGCTCATCTGAAAGTCTGTTTTGTTTGAATGAAGACCAGAAATTATGACCTTAGCAAAGAAGAGAAAAAGGCCCAGTGGATATGTCCAAAGGTAATTATAATAAGTGTAGCCAAGTTGAGCCTTATGGCTTCATTGCTCATCACTCCTGAGGGTATGTCTCAATATGTAAAAAGAGCAAGGAGCAAAATACTAATTGCAATGGAGACATTCAAAATGAGGAATTGAAAAAGTGGTTTCAGTACAATTGGTTAATCAGTCAGGATCACCACACATTAAAAAGTTGAAAAGAGAAAGGTCAGCTTTGGAGAGAGAGGACTGGGGATAGAGACTGGGGAAAACTTTTTTGCTTTGTGAAGTTTTTCATCAAAATGAGCTGTTCCTATTTAATAGGGTCTCTCAAATTTGTGAAATGAGTTCAAACTAAATCTTAGGTGGGTGCCTAAGTCAAGGTTACTAGAAAAAAGAAATTGACATTGCTAGAAATATGACTTCTTGCCAAGCTAAGAAGGATAAATCACTGATCAGGGAATAAATGCAAAGGACTGAACTAGGACATGCTTGAAGTAGGATGAAAAGCTGCCTGGCAGGGATCTGGCAAGTAGAAGGGTAGCTGCTGTTTTTTTTTTTTTTTTTAAAGACAGCAAGTAAGGACTTAAACAACACTCATCTACACTCCCTTAAGCATTTCTTGGTTAAAGGAAGTGGTGTTTTTCTAATAAAAAACTCATTTGTTAGATGCAAAGAAATCTCTCAGTAGGAAAAACACTATGCAGAAGTCCAGAGACATGAATCCTTTCATTTCTTCAAATTATAAATGAAAGGTAAATACTTGGTCAAAATGAGTACCTTATTATGATTACTCCAATGATTGTTAATGGATTTAGTGTTTCATTGAAGCAAAGGGAATATACCAGAATCCATGACAAGAGAGACCAATGCATTTAAAAGTACAATATAGAATTAATAGTTACTTACTAAAATCTTGGGTGTCATTTATGATTACATGGTATTTCTGACTTTCAGCACAATCATTACACACACTAACCAATTCTCCAAACATGGGATTCTCTGGGCTTCTCTTGACAGGCACAACTTTCGGAAGTTCAAGAACTGCAATCCAAACAAAATTCCCCAGTTGCAACTAAACATAAAGCAGTCCAGCAGAGTAGCCTGTACAAGCAACCCAACACAAAACGAGTCTGGGCTTATCTAAATGGAAGAAGACCTGAAGATGGCACTTATGCCTGGGGCAGGACTGTTACAGAGGTAAATCAAGTGTGAAAGAGTGTTTTCATAGGCCTGGATTCAAATTCCAGTCTAACCTTTCTAGAGGTTTGGTCAGGCAAATGTCTTTACTTCTCTGAACCTCATTTTCTCATATGTAAAATGGGAACAATACTTCTCTTGCAAAGGTGATCTGATGATTAAATGAACTTATATGTGTGAAAATGTCAAGTTCAATGCTGTCCAACATATGTATTAATCTGAGTACAACTCATAGCCAGAAGAGAACAGTGCCAAATGAACATACTCCAGCTGAGTCAAATCCAAACTTTAAGATAATTAAAAATTCTATTTTTCATCCATAGTAAACCCAGTTCACAAAAGAGTGATACTTTATGAATTATTCACTAAATATGTTGTAAGGAAAACATCAGTACTTGTTAGAGAAAGCATATCATATTTTTATCACGAAGAGTCCTACCTAGACTGGCCGAATTTCTACTTCCCAGAACAATGACATAGGAAAAGATGAGTAGCAGCTCATTTATTGTTTACAACTTGGGGGATAATGATAAAGTTTGATATTTTTGTTATCATCTGTAAGTGAAAACTTTAGGCACATAATAAATGGATTTTTCAAAAGTCTTATCTTTTGCTATGATATTTCAAATAATAGTTTGTCTTTATTTTGTGAAGCATTTTCATAAATCTTTCTGGGAAAAGAAACTCACATAAAAATGAGATGTAGATTGGGTTGGGTGGGGGCTAGAAAAGCAAGATGGTGCACTAGGGTGACCTTGAGAAGACTTCAGAGGGGTGAGGGCCCTAGAGGAGCAGAAGCCCATCAGATGAGCTTTGCCTCTGAAGGCTGGTCCATTTTCAAAGTGTAAGAGAGACCACCCTCTTTGATAAGGACTTGAATAAGAGCCATGAAAGCAGTCTTATCTCAGAAGCGGACAACCAATTTGCTGCACTTGAGAGAAATCAGAGATAAAAATGCAGAAAATGAATACTCAACATGAGGAATACAAGTAAAGGAACTTCATACACCTGGAGCGGAAATAAAAGGAAAGTGATGATTTTAAAAAGTTAAAACTTATTCAGAAGAGAACTTCCTAGAAAAGGCATTATAACAAAGCTGAAATGTTTCCTCCTTGCTAGTTCTGCAGAAATCACAAAGTTAATGTTGTAGCTTCTACATCTTAGAATGCATTTAACCATTGCAACTAGAAGTGATAAATTAGTAAGAGAATATGCAATGATTAATGAATAGTTAAAGAATGGAGTAGGGATCATGGAGTGATCATTATTACTCTAATGATTTTTAATGGCTTTAGTGTTCATTGAAGCAAAGGGAATTTACCAGAGCCCCTGACAGGAGAGGCTAATGAACTTAATAGCTACTTACTAAAATCTTCAGCCTATCAGACTCTTGATAGCAAAAATTTACAGTAACATTTACAAAGATTACATATATTTATAACCAGTCAAGGATTACTTTTATTTCTGTGATTGTTTAGTGTATCATATAATAGGTACTTCATAACTATTATTTCATAATCATATGATTTTTATGAACTTTATATATGAGGGCACTATTCTACTAGAGTCTATGAAGTATTGTTCATATATATATATATATATCATATACATATTATAATATTATATAATATGTATATAATAATGATATATATTAAAGACCCCAGGACCAAGAAAGATTTACTTTATATAAAGTTTATATATATGATATATAATTTTTGTTGTTGTTGTTTCTAGGGTTTTGCACCCAGGGGCATGTTACCACTGAGTTATATCCCCAGCCTTTTTTATTTTTTATTTTGAGATAGGGTCTTGCTAAGTTGCTTAGAGCCTCACTAAATTACTGAGGCTGGCCTCAAACTTGCTATCCTCCTGCCTCAGACTCCCAAGGTGCTGGAATTATAGGCATGTGCCATCATGCCCAGATTTTCTCATTTATATTTTTGAGAAGGGTTTTTATAAACTTAATAGTATTGTCTAATTGATAGGTTGACCTCAATAGTACTAATACAGTAGATGGAATTAACATATGGTCTATATGCTCATTAAACTATTATTTCAATTAACAAAGCTTTCAAAGATATATTTAGGGTTTGAATGTGTAAAGAAATGGGCACTCTCATCTTGATGAAAGTAAGACTTTTATTTGCATATCTCATTAGAAAATGCATTTCTGGAACTTTATCTCAAAGGACATTTTCACAAACTTATATAAGGTTGGTTTGTTCAGAATGTATATCACACAAGTATTTACAAGAGAGATGCAGTAGAAATAATTTAAAAACTCAATAATAGGAAATTTGTTAAATGAATTATTTACATAATTAATAATTTAAATAATATAATATAAATATTATTTAATATTATAATATAATATAAATATTATATTTTACATAAGTAAAATATAATGATTAAAATATAACAATTAAAATCACCTTTTAGAACAAATGACAATAAAGATGGTCCAGATATACTAAGTGAAAGAAGCATGATGTCAAGCATGTGGAGTTAGATTCTATGCTCATACATGCCCATGAACTGAAAATAACCGGGAAAGATTTTGTTGTTGTAAGTGTTTATTTGGGGGATAGTAATATTATCATGACCTTTTGTTTTTCTTTCTTGGATGCTTTTTTATGTGCTCCATTTTTTTAAATGATGAATGCAAATTGTCTTTAAGAAAAACTTATGTGATAATAAAGCCGATAGTCCTTTCTGAGAGGTACTAAAAGAATGTGATGAAAGTAAAATTAGTAGTGCAGGAGAAGGGGGTCTGAGGCAGGTAGGAATTCAGAGGAGGGGAGGGGAGGACAAGGAAGACTCTGTAGAGAAATCTTCTAGGACTTCTGATAGAACTTGAGAAGTGGGTAAGACTCAGCATCTTAGGCAGAACTGCATTAATAAGGATGAGAGGTACCATTCACACAGGTAGGGTGTTAGAATTCATGATATATTATTATTATTATTATTATTATTATTATTATTATTATTATTGATTGAGCCCAGAGGCACTGAGCTACACTTACTATTTTTAGGCAGGGTGTCCCTAGGGTAATCTGGATGGTTTCAAACTTATAACCCTCCTACCTCAGCTGGGAGTAAAGACTGGGCCACTGTGCCCAGCTCATGATGTATATTAAATAGATGGTACTTAGACTGAGAAATAGGAACAGATGTGTTGAGTAGATTGCTTTAAAATATATGGTGGACCTACATATTATATGTATCGATATCTGCTTGGGCTGCCATAACAAAATACCAGACTATGTAGCTTAAACAATGGAAATTTATTTTTTCATTGTTCTGAAAGCTGGATGGCCAAGATCAAGGTGCCAGCAGGGTTGATTTCTGATGAGGCTTTCCTTTCTGGACTGCTGAGAGTCACTTTCTTGCTGAGTTCTCCTTTGCATGTGATGTGTGGGTGGGGGAAAGAAGGGACAGAGAAAGAGCTCTGGTGTCTTTTGCTGTCCTTGTGAGGAAACCAATGGTCCACCCTCATGCCCTTGTTTAACCTTAATTGCCTCTTGAAAGTCTCTGTCTTCAAACACAGTCACAGTCACAGTCAAAGAATTCAACATGAATTCCATTGCTTGTCTCTGAATAAAGAAATCTCATGGGGAAAAAGCAATTTGGGGGAGATTATGTAGCCTTGGTATGTAGAAAGATATTTACAGATTCTTTGCTTTATTAAAAAATAGTTTCTAGTTTCTCCCTTTCCCGTATCTATGCAGCATATTTCTGCTTAGGGGCCTGCATGAGATTCTTGCTGATCAGTTAGATCAGGCTATCACACTGTTAAGAATGCATCTGGAAAATGAACTGTGTGTGGGCAGTATGAAGAGTGGAGTTTAAATTTCCCTGGCCAATAGTTACTGATTTCTAAGATGCTCAGAGTTTCAATTATTAGTTCTTTACTAGAAGAATGAGAAATTGATGCTTTACTCTAGCTCCAGATGATATTCAAATTCCATCCAATGTGGACTTTCTCTCAATTACTCTCATTGCACTGGTGTTCTGGATGGCTTAACTGCGTTCTTCCCACACACTTTTGGGACATTACTAGAGCAACTCTGTTCTCCATCTGGTGTTGGCTCATCAGTCATTGAAGCTCCAAGACAGCTCTCTATCTAGGGTTAGTGGCTCTCTCTCCAGGACCACCTTTCTCTGATTTAGGCTCATATAGGCCCTGCTCCTCTGGTCTTCTCCTGTCCCTGAGAAATCTCTTTGATTCTACAGAATCTCAAAATCAGTGTGTTCTCTCTCAGTTGAGGAACAGTTCTGAAAGAATGAGAAATGGGTTCTTTTGATTTAGATCAGCAAGTACATCACGCCCATAGGGAGCATGCAGTGGTTCCACAGGCCTGGGTACCTACCCTGTGGAGACCTGTTCTATGAAGACTAAACTCGAAAAATAGATTGTGAGTGAGAAATTATTCATAGCACACTGTTCCTTTACTGTGAACTTTTGTTATTGCAAATATTACAAACATTTTATTTACACACCCACTTAAGAAAAGCACTTGAACACATGTAGATAATTTGAAAAACTGAGATTTAAGAAAGTCTCTAATAGTCACTAACTGATGAGATATTTAGAACCTAATTGCACTGAAAATGCCTTATTTTCAAATTTGATTTTAAAAGATTTTTGTAAACTCACTGGCTTTGTCTAATGCAAATGGGCATTAGTAAAAAACAAGTGGAATAATCATAGATTTAACTCATCTCTTTCCTATACTATACATTTTTTATTAAACTTTACTCATTTTTCTGATTTACAAGATTTCTGTAGACAACATGATCTTGTAGAGTAGTGACATTTAAGTGGCAAAGTACCCTTTTTCTTTTACCATGTATTAATTGTACAAATTAATAGGTTTCACTGCATTTATGGTACATTGGTGCTATTTCTTTTTATTTGGTGCTGGAGATTGAACACAGGGCTTCATGCACACCAGGCAAGTGCCCTACTAATGAGCTATAATCTCCAGTCCAATAATTCTTACATTTATTTTTCATTGGCTCTTTTCCAACCTCATAAGTTTCTTCCAGATACCTATCTATACATATTTCTAAGACAGCTTCCCACTACTCCCAGCCCAGATGAAAACCAGCTATAACACCCTTTGGTTGCCTTGAAGAGAGAGAAAGAGAGAAAGAAAGAGGGAGTGAGTGAGTGGGTGGGTAAGGGAGGGAGGGAAAGAGGGAAGGAGGAAGAAAGGAAGGAAGGAAGATAGATAGATAGGTAGATAGATGACTGTTAAGGACTGAATTATGCCCCAACCAATCCCAATCCATATGTTGAAGGTCTATATCCCAATGTGACTATATTTGGAGATAGGGTTTTTAAGAGGTAATTTAAGTTGAAGTTGATTATAAGGGCAGGTCCCAAATCAAATAGGATTGGTGACCTTGTAAGAAGAAGAAGAGGGAATGCCATCTCTTTCTCTATGCCATGTGAAGACACAGCAAGAAGGTGGCCATCTGCAAGTCAGGAAGCAAGCCTAGCCAGGAACTCATTCAACCAGCATTATAATCTTGGACTTCCCAGTCTCCAGAGCCATACAATATTTTTGTTATTTAAGCCACTCATTCTGTGGTGTTTGTTTTTGACAGTCTGAGCAGACTAAGTGGTAAATATTGTTACGGAGAATTTTGAAAAATCACAAATGAAAACTATGAATTTACTATAATCTTATTTTTGAAAATAATTACTATGAATTTCATGATTATTTGAATAACATCTATTCTGTTTTATAATTATAAAATGACAGTCATTATCTTAAAATTAGAAAAAAAAATGAAAATGCCAATAAGAAACTAAAAATTTCATCACCACAAAAACCAGTTCTTATAATTTTAATATGTATGTATGTATATAATATATGTATATATATATATATATTTCTATGTTTTGTATATATTTATATGTAAATTTTACCATTATGATCATAGTAAATCATGTGGTAAATCAGTTTTGAAAGCGGGTGTATTCAAACTATTGTGACTTTTTTTCCGAATAATATAACATTCTTAAAAAAAACCATTATTTTCAATGGCATCATAATTGTCTAGCCAATGGATGCATTTATTCATCCAGTTTTCTGTTGTTTGCTAGTTGTTTTTAAATTTTCATTATTATAAAGTATACTGAATATACATATTAATATACAAATCTATATCTCCTTTCTGATTACTTCCCTCAAATATGTTCCTAGAAAGATTGCTAAATCAAATTATACAAAAAATACTTGAGAATTTTGACACCAATTGCTAGAGTATTTTCTAGGGAGGATTCAGTGTTCTGTGTTCCCAGTTCCCATCTCCCTCCCATGGCATACATGAAGATGTCAACAATTCTAGGTGCACTGATTTGGAAACATGTGTTGGCAGGCTGGACAGGAGAAAACTGTTGTTGTTATGTTTTAACTTATATGTCTTAAATTACTTATAGAGGTGATTTTGATTTGCTTTGTGTTATCATTTATTATTATGGAGAACAATATAACATTATAATATTTCTAAGTTCTCTGAGTTCCCTATTAAATCCTTTGTTATTTTCTCCCAGATGGTTTTTTTCATATTGATAACCTAACCTTCTTTTAAAGTAGTAAAATTATTAAACATAACATTATCAAATCCATTGTATCAAATTTCCAATTTTCCATTGCATCTGTGGAATTTTTTTAATGTACAGAAAAGTGATAAATTTTACTTTGTTTGTTCATTGTTTTTAATATTCAGATAGCCCTTTACCTGAGTTCATATAGAGACTCACCAATTCTTCTTCTAATTTTTAACAATTGTGCTTTTCTCTATTACTTTAAAAGCCATATGAGAATTTTTTTTGGTGCTAAATTTAAGTGAAAATACTGCCTCTGATTTATTTGTTGACCTTCAGTTATTCTCTCAACTCTATTTACTAACTGATCTCCCCCATCTCCACCTGCCACTGAAATGGGGTAACAACTGTATGATGCACTACTATATACACATACATATTAGCTTCTACTAACCTTTCTAGTACTGTTGACACTTTGCATCTGTATGTAAGTTTTTATGAGTATTCCAAGGAAAACAGAGAAGTTCAGCGAGGTCATTGTAGCTTGTTTTAAGCTTTATCAACTAAAGGAAATTTTCTGATCATAGTATCATAGAGCTAGAAAAGTTTTACATTATAATGTTTCATTTTATAATGGTTATAAAAGACTCTTTTGTAGTAGTTACCTGACCTGTTGAAGGTCACACAGAGGCCAGAGCCTGGGTATCCTCATCTTTTGTAACTTTAGTTACTTGATTATTAAAAATACTTTTCTCTTTTTAGCCATCTTGATATGTCTATATTCCTTTTTGGCAGGGCGGTGGTACCAGGAATTGAACTCAGAGGCACTCAAACACTGAGCCATATCCCCAGCCCTATTTTGCATTTTATTTAGAGACAGGGTCTCCTTGAGTTGCTTAGCACCTCACTTTTGCTGAAGCTGGCTTTGAACTTGCATTCCACCTGCCTCAGCCTCCCGAGCTGCTGAGATTACAGGTGTCTGCCACTGTGCCTGCCTGAGATGTCTATATTCTTAATTCAGGGTTTGTTATATTTGAGGATTCCTTAGATAGCAAGATACTTTCCTTCCATGGACCTACAAGGAAATCCTCACTGACAAGTACTGAAGTTCCTTCTTTTGTAGGCACTTTAGAGAGCATTTGTGTAACCTTCTTCCCCTCCCTTATGTTCCTATTTCTAATAATTTTAGGTTATATAGTGAATATTAAGATTCTTTAATACTTGATCATATTGTGACATCCTGTATTCAAATACGGTGTCCCTTTTTCTTTCAGCTACTAGATAACTGTTCCTCTCGTATCAAAATGACCCATCCAGCCAGAACCCTGTACACCCAAGATGGAGAATTGATTCAGTCATGGGATGACATAGAACGAGACATGGTCATCTGTGTGTCTATGGGACATGACTTTATAACCCAGAAAGGTATGGCAAACACTTTTCATTTCTGTCAAGATTTTAAAGAACTAAAGCATCTAATCTTTGCTTCTAAGACCCTCCTTCTTGAATTTTGCATCCTATTGTGATGATTTTTTTTAATAATTATGCTCACATTGTTCTGCTTCATGTTATAAAAGTTAAGTTTTTTAACTAGGAATTAAACAGTTTGCAGATTTTCTTTCTTTAGTAATAAGTAAATATATGCTACATTTATTATCTATTCCTTGATCATTTTCTTTGATAAATGACAGAAATTGAAAGAACATATAGTTATTTGGAATCAACTCTTGTTTTATCCTTTTTACCCTGAGGAATTTCAAATCCCTTTCTGTAGGTAGGTATACATTAGAAGAGATATAATTTTCAGGAAATTCCAAAGAACACTGTTTTTACTTTAAAAGAAATTTTTAAAATTAGGAAGTGAATTACTCAACATCTATAAAATAAAAATATTGTATTTCTTCTTTTAAAAAGGCACCATAAAAGTATTACTATGTTCTATATAAGGTAGGTAAGCCAAAGACTTTTCTAACAGTGGAATAATGCCTTTACATTTATCCTAAAAGAATCAAAAACAATATATGAAGACCAAAATGTAGGGAGACAAAGATTTATTGGGATGCCTAAGACTGCTTTGAGGAATGTCACAAATATTCCTTGAGTACCAGCCTATCTCACAGAGCAGGCTCCCTTGTATTCTTTGTGTTCTGCTGTTCCCGTAACCCATATTACCCATCACCCTACCCCTTGGTGACCAACACTGTGTGGTTACTTTGGAGAACACACCAATGGCAGGGTTCTTATCATTAATAAGTATTATTTGACAGTCTTTTGTAGTCCCAAAGAACGTATTTAAAAAGAAAAATAATCAGGCTTCCTTTCCTGGAAAAGTTTTCAATCTATCTGAGAATATAAACAGACATGAAATGATTACAGCCAATTGAATAGTAAGCAAATGCAGTACTTCCCAATCCCTTTATTATTTATGCTTTGCATTCATATACTTGGGATGGGCTACCCTACCCTTCTTGCCACGCTGTGTTCATTGGACCTGAATAAATAAGGCTAAATATGCTTCAGGCAAGCTAACCAAAAGTGTATCTAAACCACAAAGAAAGATCTAGGCTGCCTTCCCAGAAACAAGCCTGTCTCCAATAAAAAATATAAAGGGCATTGAGAAAATTGGAAATGCAAATATTACTCTCCTTATCATTTTACTCCATGTTAATTCTCTGGACCTTTGACAAGTCTATGTAGTCAAACATTTATATTTGCATCTTCAATTTAGTAAACACATGCAATGTTATGATGTGAAAGTTGATTCCTTTCCTATGAAAATAGTTGATTGATAGTGAAAGGACTGGTGGTTTTCCCCAATTGTCTGAATTTTTCCCAATGAGTCACATATGTTCTAGGAAATTTGATTGATTACAAAGATTCCAATTCAGTTGTTCTTTAGGAATTTACTTTGTTGTTTCTGCTGAAATAAAGTTAGAAATAATTATCCAGTAGAAAACTAAATATTCAGAATGTTTTTAAAAAGAGAAATGCTCTTACATGTATATACTTATTAAGAGATGTTTTAAAAATTAATCATTGTATACATGATTTTTTCTGTGACCCGCTGGCTGTACTAGGTAAGAAGAAAATAAAGCAGCCAGGGAGTTTCAAAAATAAATACAGTATAATAACTTATGTCATATACTATAATGTCAAAAAACATTTAGAATTCAGAAGTCAGTCATCAAAAAAAATCACAATGGGTTTTTGAAAAATGAATTTTATTTGGCAAAACAAACCAGATGCTATTAAAATGGTTCCTTTCACACAAGCCCCCAGTGAAATTAAAAGAGTGCTTTTATGCCATTTGCTATACAATCTGAACATGATTTTCGCTGGTTTGGCTTTCATCTTTTCAATGGGTTCAATTTTTAGAGCATTCCTATGTTAGCTTCCAATTCAGCCTTTACTAAGAGCTTGGAAGGAAGCCTTCTATAACAACTTCCATTCTATAGAAATCCAAAGAATGTTAGCACATATCTGATGTGATAAGCAGGTCAAGTGTGTAATGAGAGAGTCCAAGGTAGGAGCCGAGGATTTCTGAGGGATCGTCAAGGTTTTCACCATTATGGACTTTTAATTATTTTGTACAAATATATTGACTTGTCTCTCGAAATAATTTTTTAACAGAGTTAAAGCAAGTGGTGGAGGTCAGAGCAAATTATGCCAGAATTCGAAGACAGCTGGGCCCTCAAGCTACAGACCTGGTCCTGTTACCATCTTCAGAGCTGCTGTCACTGGTACATCTGCATAATTAATTCCTATCAGAGCCATCATATTTTCTGTTGTATTTTGCTGGTATATCTGTGTAGAGATACTCATATGCTTGTTAAACATGATTGTTATTTATCTCTTTTAATTTCAAATAGTCTTTTTTAAAAGTTATTATCTACAACATTTTACATAAACTGGCATTTGATGCCTATGCCTCAAAATTGTTCCTGGAAAGGCAACAAAATTAGACAGAATAATGCTGGTAAAACAACTATCTTAGGTGTACCTTCCTCCAGGAGGAAAAAAAAAAAACAGGAAACTACTAGTTAATATTTTAAAACAATTTAGCAGAATCTGGTAACTTATACATAATATTCATAGATGTAAGAGTATATATATGTATATTTATAATATTTGATAATCAAATAGACTCTGACCACTTAACCCCAAATTCAATCCCAACTGACAATTTCTTGCTCAGTCACTCTATTTTCAAAACTTCCATGTTAAAGTCTTACATGTATTAAATAAAACTGAAATGGCTGGTGGCTACCAAATGTGGCATGAATGGATCATTCCTCTTCCAATTTATCTTTAGTTTTGCCTGTAGTAACAGTACAGGTCCTTTATGGGCCTCAGTTAGATGTTGCTCATGAGAGTGAAATTGGTTATTTCCTGATGTATAGCCAATAATCAAAAGTCATATACTATGTCTTCATTATAGAAATGTAGAGAAAGGAATACACACACACACACACACACACACACACACACACAATCATGTAAGGGATTCTTAGCAGTCTTGGGTATCAACCTTACAGAACAAGAACAGTACCTGCTATTTTCTTCCTGAGAAGACAAAAGAGCCATTAAGACAAAAAGAAAGAAAACTGTTCCTGGTGGGAATTTTGCAGAGAAATGCTCTTCCTCCCTGTCTTCCTCTGAAAGCTACTCACAGTTCTGCCTGAATATCAATTGCAGCCTGGCTAGGTGTGTACAGAATGGCTCAGCTGGGCTCACTCCTCAGTTCCCCACTTTAATGTGATACAGGAAAGCAATATATCACCTCTACTGAAGGAGACTCTTGGTAATCGCTGCAAAAGGCCTGGCTGGTATTTACTCCCAGTCTGCAAATCAGTAGGGCTGCATGAATAAATCCCTGCTCTAACTCCACCGAAGGAAAGCTCATGGAGGAGAAATTTCACATGATACATCAACAACAATTTACCCTTTTACAAACATTTTGTTATGTGATGTTAGATATGTGAAGGTTTCCCAAAACAGCTTTGTGCCACACAGGAGACAAAGATTTCACATCACTCTTATTTTGTTTTTATTTATTTATTTCTTTGTACCCAGAAAATTGAAACAAGAACTAGCTGCCCCAATCAGAAAGTGAGCCAACAGGACTCTTACCAGTTGGGTCTTTCCTTAGAATGACTTGATCATAGTCCACATAAAGTCAGCTATTTTTTTTCTTCAAAATTTCTTGAAAACAAAGACATTTGTCTAGGTGCAAAAGTACCTATCACTTTACTGCCAAGATAAAGTTGATTTGCTATGAAAATGGCATAATTTCACCTTGAATCTAATGTGCAAATTCTTGTGAAGTCTTTGCTGTTGCATGTAAGTATGCCTGAAGCGAAAATTGGTAATATCACACAGACGCTATATCAAGCACCAGGAGACATGAGGCAAAAGTCTTAAGTGAACTTTTCTATTACTAGTAAATGGGATTTTAGATGTAATATAACAGTCATCAACACATCACATCTTACCAGCGAGGCAGCCACACTTACTTTGTAGACGACAGCTTGCCCTGGGTATCTTGGCAGTTCATAGCTACTTGTAACTTAGGCTAAGAACTATCCTACTCTGTCCTTATTATTGACATTTCTCTGGTTGGCTGGAAGGTGGGTTGGGGAGCAGTTACTCTACCTCCAGCAAGGACTACAGGATAAGACTATTGCAATTCTGTTCAGCCCTCCTAGGCTTTTAATAAACACAGTAATTTCCTTTGGGGACATGTTTATCAAATTTGAATCAGCCTCATATATACAAGTCAGATTTCAATATTTTTTTATCAACTGAAAACCATTTATTATTAAATACTAAAGTAACCATCCCCAAGTCTATAGCCTTCTCCAGAAATTTATTTCCTGCTGGTTCACAAACACCCTTAAGGTGATCCAGATGTTAATCATCAGTGTACCAGCATTTATGATTGTTCTCAGGAGAGCTGGAATTTTCTGCCCACGTCTAGCTTTTGTAGCATGATTAAGTGTTGAGGTAAAGTTGTATGTTTCTAAGCAGGTTAAGTAAAAGAAATATGCTTAAAAGCTTGACAAATATTTTGAGAGTAACTGACAGTATTTATAAATAAACATTTTAAGTGCTTATGTCAGCTTTGCAAACCAGGACACAACAATAATTCAAAATACAAAGGTAGCTTTTTAGGATGATAACACCAAATTTCCATTTTTATTGTTTCTATTAACTAAACACTATTTTATGAATCAGAAAGACAAAGGAATAAAAAATAAATAAAAGATTAATTTGTTCCCTTTTACCGAAGAATCACTTAGAAATTTTGGTCAGTGACTTTTGCAGCATTTGTGTGCTAACCTTCAATAATAGCCCAGGTGTGCTGAGTGTCATTGTTCGTGATTCTCCAATGCAGCAACTTGAGGGGAACATCATTTTGAAGGGAGTGATGAAAGCACACAATTCGGTGTTATTCTAGGTTGTCACAAAATCAGATGCAAATGTTCTCAATTAAATGGAATTGGACTAAGCAGTGATTCTCAGTTGTTTTCATTAAACCAATGACTCCAGTTCCCTTCTGGCCCTATGCACATCTCAGCTCCTCTAAGGCTAGGAAAATAAAAAGAAAGAGAAGCAGTTTTGTTCTCAACACAATAAAGTAGAATTCTGTAGAAATGGCCCCTTTTGGGGCCATGTGGCCAAAGTGACTGCAAAGCAAGATCAACAGAGAGCACTCAGGCGAATGCTGATGAAAGTAAATGGACTCATCCTGACACAGTGGATATTCAGTGGATGCCTGCTGCCAGCTATAGTATTTTCTAATTCTGCAAGTCTGTAATATGAAACTACTATCAATAGGCTGTCACACTGTACCATATGTGCAAATAGAAATATATGAGAGAGGAAGTGCTATGCCCATGATGCAGCTGAGTTGGAGGAGAGGAGAAAGGAGGCAGGAAATTATATTTATAGGGCAGTAAAATGGTGATTCTGAATTGCATGTGCTATCACTCATTGTCTGCAAAATATCGAACTGAAGGATTTCAGAAGAATACTGTCAGCTTGGGAGTAGATAGTTCAGTCAAGCTGCTGAACCTGTTAGGTCCTAGTTAGTCAGTCCTGGAGAAGAGGTGAACTTAGAACAGATATTGGAGTTTTAGCCCAGGTGCAGATGCTGAGGAATTTCAGCACTGTCAGATCACCTGAGCTGCCACCATTGGCAGCTACATTTTTGAAGCCCAAAGCCACACTGTCCTGAAATAATCCTTCGGACTGTGCTGGGGTGAGATGGAAGACAGGAGAAAATCTCCCAGGGCTGCTGGATCAGTGTTCCTCAAAGTGTAAGATTTGACTACATCTTGGCTTTCAGTTCCTTCGCTCTTTCTTCCCTTTTCTCTCTCCCTGCCTGCCTTTTCTCCTTCTCTGGCTTTTCTCCTGTAAGAACCTTCAAAACTCATCTTTCATTAAAATAGAAAAGATCCTTCCTGGAATAATCTGTGAATCAGCAAGGATGCTTCCCTAATACAACTCTCAAATTTCGGCGTATACAAGAAACACCTAGGGAACTTGAAAACATGCAGATTTCCAAGCCTGATCCTAGAGACAGGTATGATCTGTGTGCTTCAGGTAGGGCAAGGAATCTGCATTTTATTGAGCTATAAGAAGTGACCACAGTTTGAGAAACTTTGCCAGGAGTTTGGGGCCTGTCAAGGAAAATGCTGTTTACTACCAGCAGGGTGTGTTCCAGGCGACAAGTACCAGTTTCAAGAACTCCCTGTCCATGCCTTTACCCTGTGGGCACTAAGAAGACAAAGAAGCATTTGCTGTGTGGATAAGGGCTTGAATCTAAGTGTCTCTTGTTTTCTCATTATCGTTTCTTTAAGAAATGATAGAAATGTTCTTGAGTCACCTGGAGGAGGCTGAAACTAGACCCAGACGTGGGAAGGCTAAGCAAGTGTGTTTGAGGTTCAAAAGCTTCCTGTGTTAATTAAGCTGCCTTCAGTGTTGAGAAAATCTTGCTATTTTAAAGGTCACAGATATAATGTCAGTGCTATTCCACATATATCAAGGAGCAGGGTAATTTTGAAGGTCAGGAAAATAACCAGAATCTTCCTGGCATTTTTAAACACATTTTTATATATACAAAGAGGGAGAGCTATGGAACAAGGACAGGATTCCCTTTTCCATAGTTGCTCTTTCTCCACTGAAGGAGCTCCTTACTAGGGGCAGGCTAAACCTTTCTGTTCTGTTTGCTTTAAGTCTAGTTAATGTGGAAGTTTGAGCCACCTGCATCTCTGACAGGTTCATCTAAGAGTGGGAAAATTCACAAGATGTTAGTTCAGTTTACACACATACACACCCAGAAGGGAAAAGAATGCATGCATGTTGGCAGGCACTTGATATGTGTGTTCACTCCAGTTAGAATGGCAATCATCAAGAATACAAATAAAAATTGCTGGTGAGAATACAAGAAAAGGTACACTTAGACATCATTGACGGACTGCAAATTGGTACAACCACTTTGGAAAGTAGTCATAGATTGAGGAATGGAACCACCATATTACTCAGCTATTCTACTTCTTTATTCAAAAGAACTAAAATCAAACATACTATACAGCATCCTATAGTGATTCATGCATACCAATGTTTACAATAGTGCAATTCACAATAGCCCATATTATGGAACCAGACTAAATGCCCATCAACAAACAAATGGGTAACGAAAAATGTAGTGTTGATACATAATGGAGTTTTATATTCA